CAAACTGCACGGAGCAAGCTGAAACTGAGACAAGATTATATCTTTTAACTGATCTAAAGCGTTGTAAATAAATTGTTCTCGACATATCTAGACAGGGGTTAAAGGGTTTCTTTGACGCATTCGGAACTGTTCACCCATGACATGTTTCCATGGCTCATCCTTGGCATCCATCCTCGGTGTTAGCAGCAGTATTCCCTGCCTCCTGCGGGATAACTTAGAAATCTAGTGAGTTTATTGGTGTGATGCCATTTTTATTGCCATTTCTGTAATCAAATCATATTTCTGTACATTTTCAGTGGTAGGAAAAAAAGGTTTAAAATTGTATCCTAGGGAACGGTTTGCCGTACATCAGAATTTTGCAGTTTAGCTCATAGGTCTTAATTGGTTTTTCTCTAAACTATAAATTTTATAATTGAAGGACCACAATTTGTTTAATCAAGATTGGCAACGCTGCAGTTCCTTTATGAAGAGGCTGTTCTGTCGTCCCAGGCTAGCAGAGATGGATAGCTTCTTTGTCAGCAATGTGATATTTCACTTATTTTATTGTCTTATTTTAAACCCTCTCTCCATGACTTCATTTGCACTTTGACAGAGGGAGGCAGAGTATTTGTCTTATATTTCTCAGATTATAATGAATCTCTAATGTTAAAAAATTATAACCAATTTATTTTCATTAAAGAACGTGAGTCCATTTAGCATTCCTTTCTGCTTATCTTTCTTTCCTTACTCTTTCTCCTTTTGTTTCCATTAGTTTGCTTTTGTCTTGTATCCTTTGTCAATTTTTTATTTTGTTAGCAACCTCTAGACATTTGTTTATCTCCATGAATCTGTGATTGGCCTCCTAGTAAAATTCTAAGGCTTGCCTTCCCTACTGTTTTAGCATTTCTTTGTGAAGTGTTAGCTTCAATTAATTATCCATTGGTACTTACTGTAGCTACACATATTAAAAGGCAAAGTGTTTCTGAAGGCAATTTTTTAAAAATATGCCCTAAATGAATGAGGCTTCATCCTTCCCATATTCTTACTCTTTACAGGAGTTCAAATGCAAATAAGCTTCACCTCCCTACACTTGTAGTCTAATGAGTAAAAGAGGCGATCAGGTCCTTCTCAAAGGTCACACGTAATATAGCCTTCCTGGGCTGATCATTCCCCCTCCTTGTAATTGCAGTATCCTGAGTAGCAGTTTAATCATCAGACATCGGAGTAGTCATCAGAGTAGTTTAGTTGTTTGACACGAGGAGAATAAGGTTAAAAGCCTCAAGTGAAGGGTCTTGCAGCTTGTAAAAGCAATGTCCAAAAATGAAACCCATTCATCATAAACAAAAGCACAAACACTTGTAGCAGTTTATAATGCTTTTGGTTTAATCTCAGTTAGTCTTTCTCCCCTGGACTAGAAATCCAGTATAGTTTGCCATTAATTTATTGAATCTGGTTTTGGACAACGCTTCTGTAGTGTAGCTGCACGTCCTGGTACTGTATCCTCTGACCTTTATTTTCCATGTGTTACAAAAGGAAAAAAAAAATTGAGATTACACTGGCATAAACTCTAATTTGCACAGTTCACAGCTACTACTTGTGCAGTAATTGCTTTATGCGGCTGTAATCCATAACCTGTGAAGACAGCACATCATCTAAATCCCATTCCAAATAATATTTCTGTGTAGTGTTAGCTGTGAATTTACCCTGTACAGCTGTATCTCTATAAATATAATTTCATGTATTAATAGTTACAGAAAGACTGTAAGTGAGCAACTATTTTTATGAAACGCACCACTATGGATAAATTAACTTTTACAGAAATCTTGTTTACTGTATGATATTCTAAAACACTGTCAAATAAAATATATATCCAAAAATCTTTTCTTTTTCCAACTATATAGGCTGTGTGTTAATTTAAAATAGATTATTACTGGGGGTTAACCTAGTTTTTCAAAACTTCAGTTTTCTTTTTTAAGTTTAAGGCCCCAAATAGGACTCTTTTGAAACTTGAATCTAAATGCAGTGGCATTACATGGGAAAGATTCTTGGCTTTTTTGGCCTAAGTAAACAGTCTTCTCAGTCTAGTTGGTATTTACTTGTCAGGTTACTACATAACTTATGAATTGGCAATATAGTTCTGTTGCTTGCTACATTGATTGATACTTTACCTTTTTTCAAAAGGGATCTAAAGTATCAATCTGTAATAAATTCCATCACATTTTTTCCTTTTAATTCTGAATTGTTCTTCATGCAAAATCCCCATGAGTTCATGCAGAAGCCAGCATAGTGAGCAGCAGTGAACAGATCCAAAATGAACGGTCGACTATAGCTTTATCATGAATTACAATGCCTGTGGTAGGAAGAGAAAGTTCTGTTTGACCCTTGGGTGATTACAACCCTGCCATCAAGGACCTGACAATCGGAAGGAACACTTCAACACTAATCAAGACTCCCCTCTCCACCTGTCAGTAGGGGGCCTAAAGTTCCCAAACTGTCAATCTTTTATTCCAATACAAAATTTTTTAATATTGTGCATCGTTTTTATAAAGGAGGTGACATGTAAAATGGAACACAAAAATTAAGAAATTTGTACATGTCATTCTTTATGAAGTCATCTGAGAATGGGCCAGTACAAGCTGAAAAAGACCTCTATAAAAACTAATTTAAATGGAGTATAAATATTCATACTGCACAACTTATTTTTTAAAAAATAAATACAAATTACTAAGATACTAAAAACACAGAAAGTCAGAGATCAAAGGACTAGGACAGAAACAGGGCAGAAACTAGGGGGAGGCCAGCAAGGCCCCTGCTGGCTTGGACAGGGCCTTATCATGAATTCACATCTCCAAGGTACAGACAGGAAAATCTGAACACAGGAAGGAGTCAGGTGGGGACTGTCCAAAGGGTGAGTGTACCCTCCCTGAAGCTGCTGGTTTGTCAAGTCCAGTATGGAACAGTATTCCAGTTTCTTAAGGAAAGAAAAATCAGGTCTTTATTTGAAATGTTTTGGTTTTTAAAGTTTGACAAGTTTAATTCACATTTGTAAGAAAGGCTGCACAAGAAAAAAAAACAGTACCACAACAAACCAGATGCAGCCACATCTGGCCCACAGCCCACCAATTTAGAACCACAGGCAAGCATTCAGCGGGAGAACCCACTGTTTTCATCAAGGTCTGGATCACCTTCCAAGCAGGGGAGGCACAGCCCCCAGAGATAGTAAAGCCTGTAGCTATTGGGATACATACATGCCAGGAATAGCCTCAAATGTGTATTCCAAGCATGAGACATGCCACCAGAAACCCAATTGTGTATCTCCAGTAGACATGGATTTGCTGTAAAGCTACAGAAACTGACGCTTGCTTGGGCCCTGAATCTTATTTGAAAGTTTATATTCTCTTTTTAATGTGTTTCCCCAAAAACTGTAACCTTGGGGCTCCTCAAAGTTGAATTTGCCCCTTTCCCCCTTGATACTGCTATTTTTCAGGCCAAACTCATGGTAAAAGTCAAATGACCGCTTTGCTGAAAGAATTTGGATTTAACAGACATTTCCGTTTCAGGCAACCATAGTGCCAGTCAGGATGCCTATAAAATCACAAGAATACTTTCCAAGTCTTAAAATACTAAGAGTCCTGTGTTTAGTAAGTTCTACATCATGCCAGGGCGTGCAGGGCCCCAGTTATATGTGTAGAGATTATGATTATTGGTGGTAATAACAGCTGTGGTTGTAAACATATGAGTATAAACAATGGAGCAACACCCTAGAATTAAACCAAACCCTTGCTGGGCATTTGGTAGCAGATCACCCAGGCAACTCAGTGACCTGGGACTTCATAAAAGCTTAAGTCTGTGCCACCACCCCTGGGAGTACCCTGGCAACCACAAACCAGAGCCTTACCTGAAGAGCTCTAGGAGTTTGATGGAATCTTTTTTTCTGATGAAACTGCCTCTTGGAGAGGCATTTCACTGGAGGAACCGGTATTCTGTGAAGCAATAAATCGACCTTTGACCTCCTAAGTGGGAGGTACATTTTCTAAAACCCCAACAGGCTATCTGCATGTCCACCTGCTCTGTACAAGGGCACTTTACCTTGCAAGGAAAGCCTCCATCTATTACCTGTCCTGCATTTTCCACTGGTGCATTACGGTGTGAAAACCTCTAGGGAATTAAACGAAGGGACAACTGGAGAATTCAGCCCTCCCAGGGAGAATCCAGAGAGCAGTAAGAAATAGTTAAGTGGATAACACCATGCTTCATCGAGGAGCCCGGGTAGAGTTCTTGGTGATCTCAGAATTAGCACCTACATTTGAGTTTTCAAATAAAGTCAGATTTCTGACTGAACATGTGATTGACTATGAGATTATGTATCATGCATTTTCCATAGCTTAAAGGCATCAGGGCCAGGCACAATGGCTCACAGCTGAAATCCCAACACTTTGGGAACCAGAGGCAGGAGGATCGTTTGAGTGTAGGAGTTTGAGATTAAAGGCATCAAATCTATAATTACTTAAGGTTTAAATCAAACTATATTTAAAGCATACATGCACACAAGAAGAAATACATTCTTTGCAATATTTAAATTTATGATTAACAAATGGAGATGTCAATTTAAAAATAAAATTGGGTCCAAGGGCTTATAAAGTTACTTTTGGGGCTATGTGACCTAAAAAGAGCACTTGCATAGGCAAACCTCCTTAATTTAGTGTAATAAAAATTTTCAAATTGCTGCTATATAAAAATACTAACAGTGAACACAACACAGGCCCTATTCTCGAATTGCCTATAATCTAGTTATAAGACGATGACAATTAATGATGTGGTCTATGACAATAGGAATGCAAGATCATGTAGGATGCAGAAATGCTAAAAGTTGTCCTGGATAAGTGATATTTTAGTTGGATTTTGAAGGATGGGAAGGATTTCAAGAGGCACAGGGGGTATGAGGAAGAGAACAGCTTGAGTAAAGTTACCATAAATGTTGGAGGACTGTCAGTAGCGGGAAGTTACTGACTTTTGGCAGAGTATAGGAGAGAGAGTGGGTGGAGGGCGGGGATTAAAGCACACCACAAAGCCTTTGGTGAACAGTGGAGAGTCAGGAAAGATTTGGAGTAGAGAGAAAAAAATCATCCCCTGGCTCTAAAGTCAGTCCTGGCGCCTTGTCTAGGAGGAGGAGCACTTGGAGAAACTCTGGCAAGGTGTTTCCTGTCAGTCCAGGTGAGACTTAAGACTTGCGTGCCTGAAACGGAGGGGAGAGTTTTGCCGGCTTTCAGGGAAAGGAAACAAGCAGACCTCACACTTAGTGGATCCCAAGAGTTAGGAACAATCACAGCCTTCAAGCCTGAGTGAAAGGAGAAAATAGGAAGAGGATCAGATCTACAAGGGACATCAGGAGGCTCTTAGGTTGCCCTGATGGAAATATTCATCTGGCCAATAATCAGACTAAAAATGGAGGCATTTCAGAAAATTAGGTTCAGGTGAGAAGCTAAGTCTAAAGATTTAAGAATCAACTCCCTAAAGCCCCACCAGGACCCATTCCTAGACACTCTGATATAATTGGTTGGGATGGGACCTGGATATCAGGATTTTTTTTTTAAAGCTCCTCAAGGAGACAAAGGTTGGGCAGCCAAGAGTTAGAACCACTATGCTAGGAGTTAAAGTTGTTATGATCGTCAACGTAGAGAAGGGGCAAGGGAAAAGGGACAGGAGCCACACTGGGGAAGTAGGGACAGAAAAATGGGTCAGGGAAGCGGGGCTTGGAGAGACTGGACACTGCAGGGCCATGGACTCCTAGAAAGGAGAGGATTTCAGCAAAGGAGTGACATCACTGACCACATGTGCAATGATGTCACTCAGAAGCAGGAGTAAGACTGAATCACTTATTGTTATTTTTGGAGGTTCCAGAGACCTTTTAGTAGAACAGTACATTTAAGCTGCTGAGTGAATGAGGAGTGAGGAGGCAGAGGTCTTGTTGACAGGAGCATTGTTACTTCAAAGGAAAAGCAGAACACAGGAAGATTGCTGCTCAAGGTTGGTTCTTAGTCTGGAGGTGACTTTTGCCTGCTTTCAGCCCAAGGGGAGGGAGTGGGGGGGAAGAGAAGGGAAAGTCACTGTGGGCTGCAGGCAGGGAAGGACAGGTCAGAAGGCCTGGAGGACATGGAGGTCGGGAAGGAATATGTAGCACACGCTGGGTGGAGAGGAAACATGGCAGAAGAACACTCATCCACTTCAAGGAAGTTGTATGTCTTTCAAAGACTTGAAGAAACACTAAAGAAGAGGCAAATGAAGGAGTCTGTATCCTATGCATTCTGTTTTCAGCTAGTGGAAATTGGCTCAAATTTGTAAAACGCAGAGGTAACACTGAAGACGTTAAAAGAATGAGAACACTTTCCTGGGAATCCTGATCAAGAGAAAACAAACACCAACGAGAAAACAAAACAAAACAAAAAGGGCCTTTCTGAAGCTATCAAGCGGCAGATCTAGCAAGTTTTCTTTTCAGAGCAGGTGTGAAAGTTCACTAAAAATCGTTAGAACAATAAGGAAAGAAACAAAGTACAACTCTGAAGAGGTCCAAGGCAACTTGAGAAACCAAGTGTGCAGCTTACCTCTTGACTTGGGGTTTCATCCATTGGCCTGCTTCCGGGATCTTGCCTTGCTTCTCCGGACTGGCGAGATCTTATTGGGAAGCTGCTGATTCGTTTCAGGTGTTTTCTATTAGGAGCCTGTCTTTCCCTAGCACCAGCTGTGACTTTATTACTTTAGAGAAACAGTTAACAACCACCTGACGTGCCCTGAGGGTCTCCCAGCACCCCTGGTGTGTTGGGAGGAGCCCTCTGCTGCCCTGCTGTACCTAACTAGCCACCAACTGTAACATTTGCCCCCTCAAGCGTTCACAACCCCAAATTTAGGGGTAAAATGGACAGAGTCTGTCTTCTGTAACTGCTTCCTGCTGACAGAGGGGCAGTGGTGGTTCTGTGGGTCTTGGTCTCTTGCCAGCAGGACTGAGTTGTCTCCATGAGTCAGTGAAAGTGGTATCTAGCCAGGTCAAGAGTGACAGGGACAGGACTTCGCCTCTGTCGTATCCCATTGACAGGCAGTCTAGAGGGTCCCTGTAGAAGGGTGACTATTGAATATTGAGAGGATGGTATCCCTCACTGAGGATCATCTGGAACTTAATGGGCTGAAGACAAGAGGAGACAGATCGGGTTATTAGATTAGAAGACATGGACGAAAGCAAAACAAGGGGGTGAGGACAGCTCCAAAATTCCTGAGGCTGCTCTGACACACCTAGGTAACTAGTGGCTACAATTATGACCTGGGTGCATGGGGTTTGGCTTTCGTTAGCTCCCTTGGTCTCATATTCCCGAAAAAGAAACCTCCAGGTTTACCCCCATCACCTGGCAGGATTTGAAGGATAGTTAATTGCACAGAATTAGAATATTGATCCAGACTTTTACATTACCTGTCATTTTTGTTTCTTCAGAGCTACAGCCAGAGATCACTGTTGGTTTACAGGAATAAGCAGGGCTGATCTAAAATGCAGACAAAAACTTAAAAACAACTGATAAGACTTGAATTTAATGACAGGTATGTCATAACTTTTAAAATATAATTTGTCTCTTCAGTGCTTATTTTTGTCAACAAATCATGATAGGACTGATTTTTTTTTTTGGCACAATTAACTTTAGTCTTATTATACTTGGCCTGATTATTGCATAAAGTACAGCAAGAATAATTATTCTTCACATAGGCTTTTAAAGTTGGCTTTGATGAAACTCTGTTCCATAAGGAATCTTAGATAAGACATTTTTAAAGCCCAGCCCAGCCATGGTTTTGTACCCTCAACTACCTATGAATTCGGTAAATTCCTCTTCTCTTAAGGTCCCAAGATAACTTGGGGCTCCTGGGCCTTAGAAAGTGACAGTCTTTACTCACCACAGGTTAAGAACTCTGTATAGGGACTGTGGAAACAGGGTATGAGGCCAAGGGGCTTTTATTGGCTCTGTAAGTCAAGCTTGATTTCTTAAAATAAAGCATACCATTTCAGTCAAAGCCTTGGTAAAACAACCAGTTTCTCCAATTGCATTCTATTGCAAAAGAAAACATTCTTATTGCTCTTATGCAATTAACTATATTGCCATAAGAATATTCACAAAGTTTCCAAATTCTAGAAAACCAAGTATCACAAAACAAATATGCTCCAAATTTTGTTCACAGGAGTACTCTGATTCAATTGTTAAAAGCTGTAAATAGCTCGAGTTTCCTTGACTCTGAAAAATAAAACAAAGATTAGCAGTGTTTTAAGCAAAAAGTCAAAAAAGATTACTTCACTATTCTATTAGTTTAATCCATTCAGGTAAGCCCTGGTCTGTTTGACCTTCATGAACATTTCAGCTCCATATAGGTATAGCCTGGATATCTGCTTTTAATTAAGCTGACTTTTGATCATAGTGCTCTTAAAATCCTTTTAGTCTCTTATTACCTGACTTTAGCCTGGCCAAATGGCCAAAATTCATGTCTTTTGAGCTTTGCCAAAGGCAACCTCACAAGCGAAGTCGATAAGTTTTAACTAAAGTTATAACTTAATCGTGAGTGTACAAGGTAGGTGATAAGCAGTTTTTACAAAATTTAGAGTCTACAAAGGTAGTTCTGAGAAAGGAAAATTCAAGAAGAGAAATAAGATGTTGTTCATGGAGGGGCAGGGAATACGGTGATTTTTATTATTTCTACAACCAGTTTGCACAGAGAGAGAAGTCTGACTGGTAAGAATTTTAATATTTTCTTTTGGAGGGAGGGGATGCCATTTGCCCCACCCAACAGGCTTAGCCCTGTCATCCCTATTCTACTCTCCATTATAAAAGACTTAAGAGGCTAATCTGAGGACCTCCTGCATAGAGGTACTGGGTTTCGAAGCTGACTCTTGTAATTTGTTCCCAGTTTATTTTTAAGCCAAGAAGTTTAAGATTTGGGGAAATTAAACTTTTCCCAGTTTTGGGGAATGCATCCAAGGGGCATGTCCTGTGATATGAAGATGTGATTACCCATCTGCCACTCATGAAGAGAGAATAAAGGAGGGACAAAAGAAGGCATCCTCACTTTCTTCATATTATCCTGGATGGGGCACTCCCCATCATCCTGGGTTCCAGGCTTAACCAGTCTTACTGTGTACTTTTGGGCAGATCTAGAATTCTAACCTAGGTCTGTCTTAACCCAAAGTCTGGTATTGAGTAAGTGCTCAACAAAGAGCTGTTGAATAAAAGAATCCTCCTTCCAAAACACTTCTGAGAGCAGGAGTGATTCAAGCCTCTCTATTTCGCTGCTGCAGAAATGCTGCAGGCATTTCTGAAACAGAGCATGCTCTGCCTAGGACTTCCTGGGTCATCTCTACACCTGACATGGCCCATATGTATACAGGATTTGTCCCCTAACACTAAGACAGCAAGCCTCATTTCAGGGCCAGGAGCCAAGGATATAAACAGTAGACTTAACCTAGCGTTAGAATGGCAGGATTATTTCTCTGGACATATATAATGATTGTTTTCAAAGTGATATCATGAATATTTCCCTTTGATTCTCACACTATATAAAATGGGAATGGGAACTATCATCTTTGCAGAGACGAAGAAGTTGTGGTCTTTAAGATTATTTGCACAAAGTCACACAGCTAAGAAGCCCAGTACTCAGCTTCTACATCCCAATCTCAGACCCTTCCCAGTGCACAGTAAGAGGAAGGGGGCAGAGGGATTATAAGGACAAGGCTACCAAGTGGGAGGGGCCCACCTGCTGGGCAAAGGGGCAGGACAGGGGTCAAGACAAGGGAAGGACATCAGAAGTGGGTGAGATGGTGGGGAGTCCTGGACCATGTAGCTGGAGGGGACCTCAGAGAGAGGGACATGAGAGGTGGTGCAATTTCAAGTGGGTCCTTCCGAATTAATGTGATTAGAACAACTCCCAGGAATAAAGAATAAAACATGCTCATGAAAGCGGAATGCTCCCTTAATATCTTTAAATGCTTACCTAAGGCAAAAGCCGCAGCAAAGGGAGCCTGAGGACCTGTCCTATGCATCATAAATACTTTCACAAAAGTGTGAGCATGCAAAGGGTGCCTTGTTACCGGAAGCAAAGACAGAAAGGATCTGACTTCTTGAAATCCAAGTACCGCCAGGAAAGACATCAGCCAATTTATTTTTCCAGTGCTTAACAAGATAATAGCAGTGAGCTGCAAGTGCTTCAACCATAATGGACATGGAATAAAAAGAGAAATTCATAGAAATAATGCCTCAAAACAGAAACCCGTGTACATTACCCTTTACAAATGTTAAAAATTAGTAGTCATAAGACTCAGGGACATACCTTCAACTCTCCCTGTGTTATTCAGGTATTCCTGGATTCTTGCTTCTTGATCTGGATTTGCAAGTCTGAGATGGCCCTAGTCATGGCTCAAAGCAAGCCAAAGTGAGCAAATGCGGCAGCTGTGAGACAAAGGCTGAGAATATATGTATATATACTCACACATGAACACAGAAAGACTCACAAGCACATGAATACACACACATATCCAGGGACTGCAATTTTAATATTTTTATTGTGACAAGATAACATATATACCAAAAAAGTACATAAAAACATTTGGATGGTTTACTCGGTTTTAAAATAGGCTCATGCAGAACCATCATCCACACTGAGAAACAGCCTGAGATAAATTACTTGAGACTGGGCGAGACATGGTGGCTCATTCCTGTAATCCCAGCACTTTGGGAGGCTGAGACAGAAGGATCACCTGAGGTAAGAAGTTTGAGACCAGCTTGGCCAACATGGCAAAAACCCATCTCTACTAAAATTACAAAAATTAGCCAGGCATAGTGTCACATGCCTATAATTCCAGCTACTTGGGAGGCTGAGGCAGGAGAATTGCTTGAACCCCTGGTGGGGCAGAGGTTTCAATGAGCTGAGATCACACCATCACACTCCAGCCAGGGTGACAGAGCAAGACTCTGTCTCAAAAAAAAAAAAAAAAAAACATCGAGACTAACACAGAGTAAATACTTGACACATACATTTTGTATTAGTAGTACTGTCATCATTAAGAGACATATTAACATTTGCAGTGGTGCTCTGGGACTGCCATTCAGCAAGTATGTTCTAGCTGTCAGCCATGTGCCAAGAGCTGTGCAGGGGCCCCACCTGTGACAGTGAACTCGACTGGCAGTGTGCCTTACCTCTTTTCATCATCAGGTAAATAATGCCACAATCAGTGACACAATTGCAGGGTAATGGGTACCCCCAGAGAGAGGTCAAGGACACCACAGCAGGGGTCTTGCTTCCTGATGGAACAGGCAGGCCCAGCTTCTCCTGAGGAAAGGACTGCTCTGCTGAAGGCTGAAGGTGCCCAGGACTCAGACAGGAACACACTCTGTGAGAACGGAAGCATCCAGAAGAGAGTCAGGGCCTGAGGGAACCAGGATGATCAACTCACCATTCTGATTTTCAAACTAAAAATCCACATTCCAGCAAACCTACCAGGTGCGGGTGAACCACAGGGTTTGATTACTCAAGAAGGTATGGTGTGGGGACCAGCCTGGCAAATCTGAGACCCCGACAGGAGCCAGTTGCCTGAGGCACAGAGGATGGGAGAGAAGTCGCCAGCAGGAGGCTGAGAGCTGCAGAGTCCAGATCACATAGGGCCTAATTGGCCTTGGCCAGTATGTGGGCCTCCATTCAAAACGCAGCAGAAGGCTGCTGATGGGTTCTAATTGGGCAGAACAACCTGATGTGATGTCAGTTTCTTGTAAATAACACTCTGGCAATGGAGTGAAGACTTCAGAGGGGACAGGGCATGAGGAGACCACCATTGTGCTCCCTACCCCACCTGTCTCCCCTGGCCTCAGTTCCTCCTCTCCTTCCTTTCCATCTTCTTTGTCCTCTGCTGTAGGCTCCCGAGCCTTGGAGGCTGGAGACGCCAAGCTCAACCTTCCTAAACTTCTGTCTTGGGGCTGGCATGAACGTTCTGGGGAGGGCTCCGGAGTCCTCACTGGTGCATTTACAACTCTGTGAAGAACCTTCCTGGATAGGTGTCATCAGTACACCAACTCATAATCCTCACTTTCCAGGTTCTCAGACCTTTTCTCTAACACCAAGGGGTGAATTGAAAATTGATCTTGTGTCTGTGGAATTAATACTCACCATGCCTAGCATAGAATAGGTGCTCAGTGAATGCTTGCTGGAGGTTGAATAATTTTTTTAGTACTGGTCTCTTCTCCAAATCCAACACCGTTTCCCTGAGTGTATTAATCCATTTTCATGCTGCTGATAAAGACATACCCGAGACTAGGTAATTAATACAGGAAAAAGGGTTTAACGGACTTACAGTTCCATGTGGCTGGGGAGGCCTCACAGTCATGGTGGAAGGCAAGGAGGAGCAAGTCACATCTTACATGGATGGCAGCAGGCAAAGAGAGCGTGTACAGGGAAACTCCCATTTTTAAAACCATCAGATCTCATGAGACTTATTCACTATCACAAGAACAGCATAGGATAGACCTGCTCCCATGATTCAATGACCCCCCACCAGATTCCTCCCATAACATGTGGGAATTGTGGAAGTTACAATTCAAGGTGAGATTTGCGTGGGGACACAGCCAAATCATATCACTGAGTAGGAATGGCTTGCAGCCTGGCAAGCATCCCTGAGGAGTCAGTGGGCAATTTGTGATTTTCCTCAGATTTGCAGCTGTGTCTATGAAATTCAGACACAGGAGCTTGACTTTGTTACTTAAGCATCCTTTGGGACAAAAGCTAAACTTCTGGGACTCATTCAGGTGCTTTATCCAAAATAAGTCCAATAGCTCTTTCCCCTGGACTTTCTCCTCCTCATGCTCAGGTCCAGCCTTTGAAGCCAGCAGGGCTTGAGCAGGCCTGGCCCTGGCTCTTATTTTCGAAAGGCAAGGGCAGGAGCTGAGCTACAATGACGGGGAGGTCTTCTTGTTCTAGCTTTCCTTGCACAAACCCAGAGAGAGACTTTCCACTAATACCCTTGGCTGAATTTGGATACATGTGTCCGGCTGGTCAGGATTCCTTAGATGGGCTCGGCCTTCATGCCGTAAATGTTTGCTGAAAGTGTGTAAAAGACCTCTGCCAGTCTGGGCCAGAGCTGATCCAGACTCCCTCTGCGTCTCTGTTCCAATTGCAACTCCTTTAAATAACACCCCTACACACACACACACACACACACACACACACAGAGCACCCACATATCCCATTTGACTTCCCAGGGTTCCTCCTACTCATGTCAAGCAGCACTTTTGAGCTGTTTCAGCCAATCTCAGCCCCGCAGCCTGCAATATGGCCCTGCCACTCACCAGTCAGCCCCTTGAATAAGAGACTCCAGCTGAACTCCCTGCATTGGTCTCTCAAGACCAAAGTCCCTCATGGCCTGTTCTCCACTGCCCTTCCCACCAGAAGAGGCCATTTACTCACAACCCAACCCCAAAACACATTTTCACTGTTTTTAATCTGAGTCAACAAAGACAAAACCAAAAATTTATTTTTCTAACCACAGCTATCATCAAGGAGCTAACAACATAGGGTGAGGGCTTTGTAAGGTTTAAATGCATAGTTAAGTATAAATGCCTTAAAACATAAAGCAGTCATCTGGAACACACAGCCATGCTAAGGGGGTAAGAGCAGTGGGGATAATTTTGTCCTGAATGACCTTGCCGAGATATTGAAAACAGGAGCAGTGAATCGTTCGAACTACTTCTAGAAGACTAGCTGCTGTGACAAATAACCCTCACCCTCCAACCCTCCACAAAAGCTTATTCCTCACTCAAGTGACAGGTCAGAAGTTGCTGGTTGAAGAGGTGGCTTTTCTTGTGTAGTGATTCAGAGCCCTGTGTACCTTTCATTCTCTGGCTCCATTGTCCCCCAGGAGACTCACTTCTGAAAGAATGGCCTGAGTGCCAGCAGTTTGGACATCCCTGCGAGCTTGTTAGAAATGCAGGATCTCAGGCCCTACCCTAGGACCCAGAGTTTCAGAGCCGCATTTTAAGAAAATGTGCATGGGCAAGTGACTCATATACAGATGCTCCTCAATTTGTGATGGGGTTACATCCCACTAAACACATCTTAAGTTGAAAAAATATCATAAGTAGAAAATGCATTTACCATACCTAACCTATCAAACATCATAGCTTAGCCTCGCTTACCTTAAAATTATCAGAACACTTATATTAGTCTGTAGTTGGGCAAAATCATCTAACACAAAGCCTATTGTGGAACAGAGTGTTGAGGGCTGGGTGCAGCAGCTCACACCTGTAATCCCAACACTTTGGGAGGCACACAGATCCCTTGAGTCCAGAAGTTTGAGGCCAGCCTGGCAACATGACAAAACCCAATCTCTACCCCCAAAAAAACCCAAAAATTAGTGAGGCGTGGTGACACAAGCCTGTAGTCCCAGCTACTCGGGAGGTTGAGGTGGGAGGATCATCTGAGATCAGGAAGGTGGAAGTTGCAGTGAGCTGTGATTGCACCACTGCACTCCAGCCTGGGCAACAGAGTGAGATCCTGTCTCAAAATAAATAAGTAATAAAGTGTTGACTACCTCATGTAATTTACTGAATACTATACTAAAAGTAAAAAACAGAATGGCTCTATGGGTACTTGAAGAATGGTTTCTATGGTATCACTTTCACACCATCAAAATATTAAAAAATCATAAGTCTAACCATTGTTAAGTTAGGGACCACTCATACATATAAATTTGAGAAGCCTTCAAAGCCCCAGAGTCCTCTGGAACCAGATAGCAGAAGGGGAAAGAAGGTCTGGAGCAATTACAACCCCTTCTTTCCTCCTCAAGGGACTGGTCATGCTCATTCGTAGTCTCTTGGCGAGAACTGGTCACGTGGCCACAACTGGGCACAGGGAGCTGGGAAATGTAGTCTCTGATAGGGCAACTGTCTGGCAGATACCACTCCACACTATGGAATTGGGAGGACAGATTTTGGTAGACAGACATTTCTCATTCACACACAGTCCTTTTTTTTTTTTTTACTTGCTCTGTTGCCCAGGCTGGAGTGCAATGGTGCAATCAGTGCTCACTGCAGCCTCTGCCTTCCAGGTTCAAGCGATTCTCCTGCCTCAGCCTACCAAAAAATAGCTGGGATTACAGGCTCCTGCCACCATACCTGGCTAGTTTTTTAAATTTTTAGTAGACACAGAATTTTGCCATGTTGGCCAGATTGGTCTTGAACTCCTGACCTCAGATGATCCGCCCACCTCAGCCTCCCAAAGTGATGGCATTACAGGTACGAGCCACCATGCTCGGCCTTTATTTTTTCATTAGAAGAAAGAATATTTCTGCCTCTCATCCAGAAAACTGCCTGGGGGACAGAATCATGGGAATTTTTCCAGGTTCCTGTGTGAAGGTGGTGCTAACTGAACTGATATTTCAGACAAGAAGATAAAACATCTTCTTCACCACAAGCCATCATGTTCATAAGAGTCTGTGATCCCATGTGGTTCCCAGCAGTGCCTGCTTCCCCTCACCCCTACACAGAGAGTATCCCCGGATGACCTACTCCTCCAAACACATCTGAGGGTTCTGACCACGGAACAGCAAACATTTTTGTAAAGTGTTGAATAATAAATATTTTAGGCTTTTCAAGCCATGTTATGTCTGTCACGATCACTCAGCTCTGCCACTGAAGCATGAAAGCCACCATAGATAAAATATAAATGAATCCATGTTATATGAACAGAGCATAGGAGGATTGACTATCATGCATTTTGCAAATCTTTGCTGAGCATTTATTAAGCAATGTAATGTCTCTGAACCCAGTCAAAATGTAAACTCCATGAAGGCAAGATTTATATGTATCTTGTTCCTTACTCTAGCCCTTGAACATAGCACCATGACTGGCACAGTTATAGAATGAAAAAATGAATGGTCAAATGAACATCAAGCAAGGGAAAATTTACAAATCGGAAGAACTACAGTAAATCATTTGAGGTCCATCCTGGATAAGAGATCCACAGAGTCAAGGTTGCCAAGAAACCTATGATAAGAATAAGACAAAAGGAAGTCATCCACCAGGTCATAACGTTTGGTAACCTGGCCCAGGAAGGGTCCTTACAGAATAGCAAAGCCTGATGACCCATTCTCCCCAGTGAGCAGGTGGCCACCATCTCGAAAACAAAGGCCCTACAGTAGGACAAACAGTGCTTGTATGTGCAGAAGAGAGACAAGCAGGGACCTATTAACAGAGAACTCATCAGAGTGGGGCTCAAAACCTAATATGGAGGCCCTAGACATGTACAGAGGCCACAGCAAAGGGATTGCTATAAGAAAACCTGGTCAAGGACAGAAGCAGTCACAAATAATGAGGAAATAGCATTAAATCAACATGAGCTGTGTGCTCAGACATTTACATATGGCATTCAGTGTTATCCTCACAGCAGTCTTGTGTGTTCATAATATTCTCCTTGCACCTCCAAAACTGCTTTGTTAAGGTCACATGACTTCATTCCAATACTTTACTGTAAAGCTACCTGGAGTTTCTTAGCCTTAGCTTTGGGCCAGAGAATTCTTTGTTGTGGGAGGCTGTCCTGTGCATTGCAGGATATTTAGTAATATCCCTGATCTCTACCCATCAATTATAATGACCAAAAATATCTCCAGACATTGCCTAATATCCTCAGAGGTAGAGGAGATTTGAGGGCCACTGAGCTATAGGAATTCAGACAGTGAGAAACTGGCAAATGATAGACACATATGTCAGTGGAACAGAACAGAGTCCAGAAACAGACCCATCCATACATATACACATATGCCCATACATAAACAGACCCATACAAATACTTACATTTACATGTAAATTTCAACAAAGATACAATGGCAATTCAATGGAGAGAGAGTAGTCTTCTCGAAAATTGAATATTCATATGTACAAGAAAAATGTATCTTGATGCATATGTGATCCTATATACCAAATTAAACTTAGAATGGATCAGAGGCCTAAATATGAAAATCTGAATATGTGATAAATGGGACTTAAATCAAAATTTAAAATCTCTAATCTTCAAAAGATAGTTATGAAAATGAAAAAAAAGTCACAGATTGGGAGAAAATGTTTTCAAAACAAAAATCTGATAAAGGAGTTGTATCTTCAATATATTTTTAAGTCTCAAAATTCAATAATAAAACCAAACAACTCAATTCTTTAGAAGAGTGGACCAGGCACAGTGGCTCATGCCTTCAATCCCAACACTTTGGGAGGCTGAAGCAGGAGGATCACTTAAGGCCAGGAGCTTAGGACCAGCCTGGGCAACAGAACAAGACCTCCATCTCTACAAATTAAAAAACAAAACATAGCCAGGAATGGTAGCATGTGCCTGTAGTCCTAGCTACCTAGAAGGGTGAGGCTGGAGGATTACTTTAGCCCAGGAGTTTAAGTTTACAGTCAGATGTATCGTGCCACTGCTCTCCAGCCTTGGCAACAGAGCAAGACCCTGTCTCAAAAAAAACCAATCAATCAAAAATATAAAGAATAAAAGCTGTAAAAAGGCACTTCAACAAAGAAGTTAAACAGAAGACAACTGCATAAAAACATGCTCAACATGATTTGTCACTAGGGAAACGCAAATTAAAACCACCACGTGATACCACTTACACACCTACTAGGATGGCTAAAATTTTAAAACTGACATGCATCGTTAGTAGGAATCCAAAAATGATACAACCATCTTGAAAAATATTTGGCACTTTGTTTTTCTTTTTCCTTTTTTTTTTTTTTTTTTTTTGAGACAGGGTCTTACTCTGTCACCCAGGCTGGAGGGCAGTGGTGTGATCATGGCTGCTGGCAGCCTCAACCTCCCTGAGCTCAGGTGATCCTCCCACCTCAGCCTCCCAAGTAGCTGGAATTACAGGCACATGCCACCATGCCCAGCTAATATTTATATTGTTTGTAGAGATGGCTTCCTACCTTGTTGGCCAGGCTGGTCTCAAAGTCCTGGGCTCAAGTAGTCCCCCCACCTTGGCCTCCCAAAGTGCTGGGATTACAGGCATGAGCCACCACACCCAGCCTGCAGTTTCTTATAGAGTTGAAATACGCCTATGTATTTATTTATTTATATCTTATGTTCCAGGGTGCATGTGCAGGACATGCAGGTTTGTACATAGGTAAACCTGTGCCATGGCAGTTTGCTGCACCTGTCACCCCATCACCTAGGTATTAAGCCCAGCATGCATTAGCTCTTTTTCCTGATGCTCTCCCTGCTCTACCTACCCTCCCTCAATAGTCCCCACTGTGTGTTGTTCCCCTCCCTGTGTCCATGTGTTACCATTGTTCAGCTCGCACTTATAACTGAGAACATGTGGTGTTTGGTTTTCTGTCCCTGCATTAGTTTGCTGAGGATAATGGCTTCCAGTTTTATCCATGTCCTTGCAAAGGACATGACCTCATTCCTTTTTGTGGCTGTGTAGTATTCCATGGTGTATACGTACCACATTTTCTTTATCCAGTCTGTCATTGCTGCAGCACTCCAGCCTGGGCAACAGAGGGAAGGAGGGAGAGAGGGCAACAGAGGGAGGGAGGGAGGGAGGGAGGGAGGGAGGGAGGGAGGGAGGGAGGAAGGAAGCTAATGGTATTTTGTTATACCAGGCCAAGTGGATTAAGGCAGACTTCCTCTTTGACCCATGTGTTATTTAGAAATGCTTATCTCCAGATATTTTGGGATTTTCCAGCTATCTTTCTGTCGTTATTTTTAGTCTAATTCCATGTGGTCTGACAGCATTCTTTGTATGGTGCCTGTCCTTTTGAATTTGTTAAGGTATGCTTTATGGCCTGGAACGTGTTGTATTGGAGAGTCTTCCTGTGAGTGTGCAAAAAATGTGTGTGCTGGTGTTGTTGGATGAATTCATCTATAGATGCCCATTATATCTTGTTGATTGATGGTAGTTCTGTTCAGTTCAGCTATATCCTTACTTATTTTCTGCTTAATGGATCTGACTTACCTGAAAGTCCATGGTCAATCACTCTACTCACTCCCTTACACACATTCTCAAATCTCTTGCCCCTCTTTGCTTCTGTGCATAAACCACAACTGTGGTCCAAGTCAACTCTCTGCATGTACCTTGCCTATCTCCCCATACATGATGAATATAGCTGGAGAAAACCATTCACCACGCTGATTGCTATCTGTTTGAATTCATAACCACTAACCTCAAGTCGGCCCTATATGCTGCTGGGCAAACAGGCTGACACTCCCTGGTCCATTCCCAGGGACAGACCCATTCCATCCCCCTCTCGTGGGTGACTGTTTCATACCTTCTCATTTCCCTTCCAGTGGCCAACACTTCCTCCTTAATCCTTGCTCTTAGCAGATGACCTTGCTTCCTAGTTCCCATTAAGAAATTAGAAGAAGTTTCCACCACCATATCTACACTCATATTTGTGCCCCTATACTCTGCTGCCAGGCCTTTTACTCTCAATTATTTGTCTATGCCACTAGCAAATGGCAACCCCTGCCCTTCCGGGCTAGACTGAGCTTGCCTGCTCAGGGGCCATACTGCAGCAATTCTCCTTTCTTTCTCCTGTATCATTCATTTGTCCCTCTCTCTTTGATCTTTCTCATCAGTACACAGGCTGAAAAACAGTACATTTTTCTTAAAATGGCAGGCATGCCTGGGGAGGCTTTTTCTTTCCCTCTTTCCTCTAGGGAAGTTGCTCTTCCCCAAGATAGCCACATGCCTCTCTCCCTCTCCTTTGCTAGTCTTTACCAAAGGACACCTCTCAGGGATGCCTTCCCTACCTAAGCTCTGTGTTGCCCTCTGTGGCGGGAACACCCTCAGGTGACCTCAATGGGCCCTTGAAGAGTCCCTCTCCCATTGAATGAGGGTAGAACCTGTTACTACTTGCTTCTAACTAATAAGATATAGCAAAGGTAATGGGGTGTCACTTCCTTGATTCAGTTACATTATGTGACAAGGTGATGGGCTGTCACTCTCACGGTTATGTTACATTATTGAAGACTACATCTCAGCAGATGACCAAGAAACTGTCCTCACTGGCTTGGAGTAAGTTGCCATGTTGTGAGAAGGCCCTTGGAACTAGAAGGCCTCTAGGATCTGAAGGCGGCCTCCAGCAAGTATCCATCAAAAAGCGGGGGCCATCAGTCATCTAAAAATCTGAATACATGATAAGTTGGACTTAAATAAAAAATTCAAAACCTCTAATCTTAATTTAAAACCTCAATCATACAACCATGAAGAAATACATTTTGGACTGGGCATGGTAGCTCACACCTATAATCCCAGCACATTGGGAGGCTGAGGTGTGGGCAGATCACTTGAGGTC